TGGACACCCTGAAAACACGCTTGCAAAGTCAACATGGGTTTTTTCAATCCGGCGGTTTCAAACACATATATAAAGGCATAAAACCTGTGGTACTAGGTTCGGCTCCATCAGGTATAATTTAACACTAATATAAAACACAGTTACACCAGATTTATGTAAAATATATGATTACACCAAAAAAGCATTTTTTTTCTCTAATATTAATGAAAATATGTTACAGCTGCTATATTTTTTATCACTTACGAAGGAATAAAACAATATTCGCAACCGTATGTACCAAATCAGTATCACTCCGTCATTCACATGATCGCAGCATCATCTTCTGAAGTAGTAAGTAATTGCTAATTGTATATGTATTTAATAATGGCTTTCCATTTAGTGATACAAATCGATATAAATTTTATCTTTAATATTTAGTAACGAAGATAGAACTTGTGTCAATTTATGTTATCAAATAGAAAGCATCTAATGTTTTATAGGTCTGTTTGTCATTATTTTGAATATTGTGAAAGATTGTATCTTATATTAGATGATATCCCCCCCCCTCCGTTAGATTAATTCAAGATAAATATCTTTTAAAAATGTTAAAAACTTCTCGGATTATTTTGATGAAATTTTATGCATGTTAATCCGTTTTAGATTTATGGTCATATGAAGTTTTCATCTTAAATTAATGTAAGGAGAGTCATACCTTAAAATATTTTATCATAATTAAAGATCATCCTATATAAATTATATTTTATAAACATTGTTCAATATCAAAAATATAATAAAATTTGCTTGAACTCACGTGTGCAGACTGCCTGTTTGGTTCGGGTACCAGTTGAAGTAATTAAACAAAGAAAACAAGCTCTTTTGTCCGATACGCATCGACTAAGATTAAGAACATTGTATCGCGGTTATGGAAGCACCGTTCTTCGGGATCTGCCGTTTGGCGTGATTCAAATGCCATTATGGGAGTATTTCAAGATTTATTGGACTCGACAAATACAACGGGAGTGCACACCCCTGGAAGGTGCCGCTTGTGGATCTGCGTCAGGTAATAAATCTCATACTTAGTGAAATAATTTTAGAACAATAAAAGAATCTTAAAGAGATGTTATTTTTTCTATTTTTCAGTTGCTATATCAGCTGCCATAACGACGCCTTTAGATGTTGCGAAGACCAGAATTATGTTGTCCAGCACATCAGCAGAAAAAGAGGAAGTTAAAATATCGACAATGTTAAAAGAGGTTTATAGAGATCACGGCTTTAAGGGGTGAGGATTGTGTAAAATATATATTTTTAAATCGAAAAATCTGTTCTCCTGATGTTGTAAGAATAATGTTTTTAGGTTGTTTGCTGGTTTCCTCCCAAGAGTAACTGGCTTTACTATTGGAGGGTTCATATTTTTTGGTGTTTATGAACAAGCTAGAGAATTTTTTATATCCTACTTTTCTTAGTCGCCGTTAAATGAACAAATTATAAAAACTAAATTATGAATACATATTAGTAAATGAGTTTTTTTATTCATAATCAGTAATGTCCTACTGGGATTAACTCCAAAAGGTAATAGTAAATTAATAAATTTAATTGAATTAAAAAAATTTTTTTAATTTATTCACATAATTAATATTTTACTATAACAAAATTTAAAAAAAAATCGCTTATCTATTTTCAGCCTGTCAAAGAATTTCGAAATAAAACAGTTTTTCAAGTTTCTATATTATAATATTAAGTACAAAGTTCTTGAAATTTAACATAAAAATTTAAAAAAAAAAAACTGCATTTTAGAAACATAATTCTATCACTAAATCTTATCAATTGCGATTCACAATCATATGAATGTAATTATAAACAAATGTCATTTTACCAAAAATATGAAAAAAAAAGTTTAATAATCAAAAATTACATATTTAAGAAAATTCTTCACGCTTATTGCGTAATTTTTCAATTATACAAAATCGTACGTATACATTCCATACATTTTTTAAAAATTTGCTATTTGCTAAAATATCTAATCCATTTTTGCGAAGCTGCATTGTGCTACGCTAACAACATTGCGTGTATAAAATTCTGAGCTTTTACTAATTATTGAACAAAAAATATCACATTGGTCGTTAACAATACATTAGAATCTATTTCATTATATTTACTATAATATCGGAAATAAACAATATTAAATCTTATATCTTATAGGACCGTGAGAATTAAAACCAATGAAAAACCAATGAAAAACAGGCGATAACGGTCAAGTTGAATCTTGAGTGCTTCTATATAATTGCGTGTGAATTTATGTATAATACTACGTATTTAGAATTTTAATTGCGCGCTTTTTTTCAGACTTGTAACGCAAGTATATAAATTTATACACAATTATATTGAAGCACCCAAGATCCAGTTTTATCGTTACGGCCTGTTTCTCATCAGCTTTTCATTGGAGATAAATTATCTAGTGTATAAAAAAGCATAAAAGAATACAATGAGTATAAATACTGATTATGTTAGGTCGCACAACAATACCTTTCCCCTGTTTTTTTGCTTAGAACAATTGCTTCTTCTACCTTTTGCAAATTTTCTGGATTAGATACAAAATCTTGTATAATTTCATCGAATAATTCGACTGCAAAGAACAGATATAATAAATATACATTTTGTAAATAAAATAAAACAACGTTTATTAAATGTAATGCTTTCTTACCTACATTCTCTCCTGTTTTACTAGATGTTACGAAAAGTTTGGTCTGTGTACCACTTGCGTATCTCTCTACCATATTTTGTATATCTGGATCGTCTGACGCGAAACCTTCATCGCACAAATCCTTTTTGGTGGCGCAAAGATATACTTTACAATTCTCTTCAATGCTTCTAAGTTCTCTCACCCAGTGCTTCGCTCTTTGGAACGTATTCGATTTTGTAATATCATAACACACTATGGCAGCCTTGGCACCACGATAATATGTTCTAGTCATTGCGTCGTACCTAGTAATTAATGATAACAGCATAAGTTATTGTTGGTAATATATTATAATGAATTCGGTCACTTTTGCATTACATTAGAGTAATATATACTAAAAACTGCTATGTTTGAAATTAGCAAAGTTAAATATAAAAGGATATAAATATTTCCAATGATTACAGTTAAAAAAATAATATTGTCAAGTTATTTATATAGTTATACATGTATTATTTTATTGTTAAAGTTAATTATATTATACCATTTTAGATACTTTATATTATAAAACAGCTTTTAATGTGCATTAATTTAATATAGTGCTTCTAACTGAATTTATGATTAAGTGTAGTATATTTGGTGCTTTCCAGAGAGACAAATACAGTTAATACAATGGTCGATATTCATAGTCAGTTCTTATTGTATATTCAAGATTGTCTTAAGTTCAGTCTTGAGGTGTTAAGAATCAATCAAAAGGCTACATTGGCATCTTAAGACAATCTTGAAATAAAAACCGACTATGAATACCAGCCAATGAATCATTACGTCTTTATTTACCGATGTTAAATAAAGATGAAGTGATCGTAATGTTACTAGAGCCGTTTTTCTTTTAAAAGATACAGTCGATATAAATGTTGTTTTATTTTTGTTATTCATTAAATATTAAGAAGTATTACATTTATGTCGACTGTGTTTCCTAAAAGAAAAATACCAATTTTAATAGTATTCAAAATCTCAAGTTGGAGACACGATGTAGCTATTTTATATACTTACTTCTCACTGCCTGCAGTATCCCATATTCCCATAATAAGTGTCACATCGTTCACTTGTACTCGCTTCGCTGCAAACACAGTGCCTATTGTCTGCGGCATAATTTCAACTGGATTAATTGGTATGACGCCCTCCCTTCCATTTAGACGATTTTCAGTGTAAACTTTAACACAATGTTATTTTATAATTTTCTTTCCATAATGTCGCGGACTAAGAGAAACAAGATGTACCATATTAGTGCTCGCTAATTGAACTAAAGGCTCATTCTTTTTAGCTGCAATTCTTTTATAAAATATCTATTACCAATTTGTTTCTTGTTCTTCCTTTAATTCTTGTATAAGTACTAGTGAAAAGTACCTTGACTATAAACTTTTGTTGCAATTATTTTTAAAATCTTAATCATACAATTTTCTTTTTCAAAGCTTGCATTTGTGTGACTTGGACTTGAAACGAAATATTATAGATATAAATTATGATATTCTTCTGATGCACATTGATAAAATAGCATTGATAAAATTTAGACGCCCACAAATGTGTATTTCTTTCACACTAAGTCTATTTGCATTGCTTGCATTTTTTGCAATCAGTATCTTTGTTGTCTTTTTCTACAAAAATGCTCAAATATATAATTATATCATTTTAGGTAAAAAAGGTTTTGGGAATTTCAACAGGAATAAATATTATAGCCATCGTTATATTTAACTAAATACAGGAAATTTAAACTGCCAAGTTCACACAGCTAAAAGGAATAGTCCTGTCGGGGAAGATTTTAAAGAATTCTAAAGGGGAGGAAACTACGTTTTTTTTCTTTTGTTTCTCAACAATCGTCTTTATTGAATCGTCTTTTTATTTATGTAGTACACGAGAAAGTATTAACGTACACACGCATATAATCGAGTAAATACTTACATTCTGATAAGGCCGATTGCCGTTAAACGAATCGTGTACATATCTTTCCATGAGACTTGTCTTTCCCACCATCGCATTACCCAGTAATACGACTTTTAAATCTACGCGACTCATTTTTTATTTAAATCGATTGCTCTTCTTTCCTAAGAGAGCTTTGTTCTCAGAGTATCATGTAATTATTATTATTATATGTAATGTACATGTATACGTATACGAGGTTATGGCATAAAAAGCCACTCTACATCGACGTCTCAAAACACACTGAATCACTCTGAACTGAATGACTGAACGAACAGCACTGAATGATACTGACGATACTGTCATGGCGGAACAAGATTGCGCATGGATACATAATTGCATTCCATTGTATCTGGCATCCTTGTTCATCAAATGTTAAAGAATGAAATGATATATCACGCGTATTATCTTCTTTAATGATTGTATAATCAGTATGAATCGATATTTTTTTTTATATATACATTGATATTATTTACAACTTAATTTTATATGTATTTCATTATTATACTGTAAGGGATAAACTAAGTTCCTGTCGTCAGACTGTAGCTTTGCTTGCTAATACGAACAACTACGGGGCCTCGGTTCAAGTCCAAGCACCAGTGGAGCGCCTGATAGTTTGTACTGGGTCCAACTGTTACAATACTTACCTCTTCATCCATTTTAATATTATGATTATATATTATCATAACGCGATCACTTAACAAAGTCGTTTATCGTTGAAAAATCCAACTAAAAATCACGTTGACAGTGATTGTCAGTATATCGCTGAAAAATAAGCGATGAGCGACGCATGAAAAGAGATACCTTTAGAAGGAATTTAATATATTTTCAGACATTCCATGATATATTATATTTTTTTTAGTTCACATAAGAGAAATACTTGTTAATTCAAGCATAGAATTCCATCGCTTCCTCCGCCTCTCTTGAACTACGTTCTTTCTCGTAATGTAACGAAACTAGAGGTTTATAAATATTTTTTTAAACTGATATACGAGTATAACAGATTTTTGCTTCCTAAACATCGACACACATTAGATATTTTTCATTATTATTATTATTTATTTGGCCTTTCCTTGTGCGGCAACCGCGGCCATCGCAGCCTTAACTGTCTCTTCATCACCCAAGAACTTCATTGAAACGACAGGCTTGAAATTTTCATCCAATTCATACACAAACGGGATACCGGTCGGCAGATTTAGTCCCATAATTTGTTCATTGCTCATTTCTAAAAAAAATGATACATATTTCATAAATTGTTACAATTACAAAATAAATAAAATGAAGAAGCAGTCTTACGATCCAAGTGTTTCACTATGCCACGTAAACTGTTTCCATGGGCAGCTATAATGATCCTCTTGCCCTCTTTCAACTGTGGAATAATTGTGTCGTTCCAGTAAGGTAACGTCCTCTCAATGGTCAATTTGAGGGACTCAAACTTCGGGAATTCGTCCGGCTTTGGCCCATCAGCATAACGTGGATCTTTCACTATTGTGTCATAATATTTGTGATCAGATTCCATTGGTGGTGGTGGTACATCAAATGATCTCCGCCAGATCTGCACCTGTTCCTCTCCATATTTGGCAGCAGTTTCTGCTTTGTTCATGCCAGTAAGACCGCCATAATGTCGTTCATTCAAACGCCATGTCTTGTTAACAGGTAGATCCTCCTGACCGATTTCCTTCAGGATCGATTTGAGTGTCTCTTGTGCTCTTGTGAGTACCGATGTATGAGCCACATCAAATGTATAGCTTGCATCCTTGAGAGCCTTTCCTGCAGATACAGCTTCGTTCTTGCCTGCAAAAAGATTTCTGATATATAAACAATTGTTAATTTAATTTTTATAGGCCTTCTACAATAAGCCATAAGTCATAAATTATAAGTCCAATCACATGGTCTGTTTCTATTCCCACACTAGATTGCACTAGAACTCTTTTTTTCACTTTCAACAAATATCAAACATATGCCTGTTTCACTTTAAAAGTATACACTAGTTCAGTCACAGAAAATAGACGTATAATCGTCAATTTTTTGTTTCTTACTTCTGATTTATGGCTTATTGTAGAAAGCCTATTAATCTTTTGTAGTCTTAAGTAAAATTGGACATAATATGCTTTGAAATAATCTAACGTATAGCTCTTCAAATATTTAAATCAGTAACAATGCAATCAGCAAACTACATTCTTGGCTTCTCTATAAATTCTTTCAATTAATAAAAATGTTTATTTTATGTTAAACTCATCGATTAGATGAAATTGATGTAAAATACTTGATCTTCGCTCGTTTATAAAAAATAATTTAAATATTACAAAAAGGCTTAATTTTTAATCCAATGTTATTCTAATCATTCAAAATTCCAAATGTTACAATTTTTATTAAGTTTTAATCAACAAATAAAGGAAATCTAAAAATACAGTATTTAACAAGCAATAAAAGATAGTCACTATATGTTTTCCGGGATAGCTTCTAGCTATCTTCAGATATTCGAAATCAAGTTTTAATGTGAATTAATGATATACGATTGCAGTATGTCAATAATGTAATTCAAAAGAGACTCGAAAGATTTGCGTGGGATCGCGCGACCTTTCGCCCTTGAAAACGGCTAATTGGACGGATACATTATGCCGGTCATATTTACGCACCCTTGTCCGACAGATCGGCGTCATACCACCCGCAGAAAAGGTTCAACTTATTCCACTCGCTCTCGCCGTGACGAACCATAACGATCCTGTATTTCGACATCTTTTCTGTGAGATCACAAAGCTTAGACAATTTGCGATTTGCGAGAGGAACGCACGGGGAACACAATTCGATACCTTCGTATTCGCTCAGCTGTGCTCAGCTGTTCAGTTCAAGTCCCTTCCTCCCATTTTTCGCGGTTATTTGAGGAGTAGGGGTAAAGGCTGGTATTCATATTTCATATTTCAAAACATACGATATAGATATTTTGTATCATAATAGCATGTAGTTTAAAATTGAAAATGTTACAATCGTATACCACATCTTATTCAATCAGGCCTGTTTTTTTTCTTTATTCCAGCATTCTCTGGACTTTAATTTTTTGCACCGTATGGTTTTTCTTTTTGAGATTTTTTAGGGATATAAAAAATTTAGAAAAATTTCTGGGTGACTTCTGGAGAAAAAAATACAAAAGGAGAGCTCAAATGATAGCTAAAATATTGAGAAAATCGCATTAAAGAGAATAACTTTCGAACAGATTCAGCAACGATTTCAGAGTGCAGAGAGTACTAAATTTAAAGTACATACATTCCAAAACGTCCTCTCCGAGGAAAATTTTATATAGTACACGTAACATATACTATATAAGTATACAGAGTAACATCTTTGAACAATTTCTTCCGAGAGGCCGTTTTGGAACGTAACCCTAGATATAATAATAAATATAATGATTCAATGTCATATTATAAAATATTATTATGCCTCATAAATTGATGTGATAATTGAAAATATTGTGAATATTTGTATATTCCTAATCTGTAACCTATAACGTATATGATTTTATAACGCATTTATAAGTAAACAATTATAAGTGATATCTTGGAAATAATAATGCCAGGCTGTTGTGTGCCAAATTGTACAAATTCAGCAGCTAAAGGATTTCTTATGAAACATTTCCCAAGAAATCCGGAAAGAAGGATTCAATGGACTATAAATATTCCACGAGCAAATTGGACACCTACAGATTCTAGCTGTATTTGTGAGGTACAGTATTTATCTTTGTACGTACTTAACAGCCAACTTCTTCTAGATACCAATATTCTTCGTTAAATGTTATATTTACTCAGATTATTTGAAATTTATAGATTAAACTTATCTTGAGATTCTTGCAGTCAATGTAATATTAAACTACATAGTATCTGGAGATATTCTTAACTATTCTTCTAAATATCAGCTTATATATGCTATGAATATAAATGAATATTAATTAAATGAATATTATTTTTTATGAATATTATTCTTTATATTTAAGGTTCATTTTTCATCAGAAATGTGGGAAAAACCACGATGTGATGGTAAAAGAATCTTGAAATATCATGCAGTACCAACTATTTTTAAGTCATGTTTTAAAACAGTTGTTGCATCCAGACAAAATACTGAATCAATACAATCAGCGCAAACTGTTAAGATGGATAAGAACTCAAATCTCACCAGTAATAACATTATCGTTCAACATCAAGAAGAACCTATCAAATCTTTGATAGTTCCAGTTAGTGGAAATCAACCAAATCGATCTTCATCTAATCATGATAATAAAATAGATTGGAAGAAAAAATATGAAGAACTCAATGATTTATTTAAGAAACATGAAAAGATGTATGATGTTCTAAGAAAATATATTGAGTTGAATAATATACTTACGAAAAGACTGAATATAGAACAACAAAATCAGTGTAAGCAAGGTGTAAACACAAATTTGTCTTCATTTACCAAAGTATTCATTAATAATCAAACAGAGGCATTGACAAAGGAATCAAGACCTGATTCAAAGTATTCAAAAAAAACATTTAAAAAAGCAATTTGACTGAGAATTGCTTATGGAACGAATAGACATAATTGAATGTTTCTTTTTTTTTCAAATTTAAACAGACATCTGCATAATGTATAAAGCATGAGAAAGTCAATTAATCAGAGTTTTTTATTTCAAAGGAAAGGAAGAAAATGCATGTTGTATTAGATATCAAAGACCTTAATGATTTTGATTATTTCTTACTTTGATTGTAGGTATTATGCAATATGTAAAAATCCGTGTGTTCCTAGCTTAATCCTACGACTTTATGTAGTTTCTAAATAAAATCAAATATTTATATATTACGCTTTATACATTACGTTTTTCCCACTCCCTTTGTTTTTAATACTACATATTTTAGTAAGTGTAGCTTACGGAATAAAGTGTACTCACAAAGTACATTTAGCTATAGATTTATGTTTGCCGCGTCAAATAAAATACGGTTGCGCCATTGGTTCCACCAGAGAGACTCTGGTTCCACTATATTCCTACTACAAACGTCGCCAGGTCGCCACCGATGGCACCGATCAATCCCGTCGCGGCTTCAATTCGTATATGTCGCACTCTAAATATACTTACGTTTATGGTTCTCACCTACTTTTCAACTTTGATGTTTGTATTTGATTGGTTTCCAATTTTCTATTTCTATTGATAGTATTGGATAGTACAGAGCAGTACAGAGTGGTATGGAGTTCCATGCTCGTCGAAAACAGGTGTTCAAAATTTTCGAACTGCCGACGATGCAATGTACAGTGACATTAATTTCTGTTCGAGCACAATTGGTATAAATAAACTCATTTATTCGGAAACAGTGAATTCTCTTTCTATTTCTACTCCTTCGAGATAGTCCAAGGAGGATCGTGTCATCATGCGTAGCGTATGTAGAACAGATATCGTCTAAAAGAATGTGGATAATCGCAGACAGATCTATGAGACTGCAAAGTGTAATTGCGGTACATGCTTTATTTGCGAAAAGGTGACCGTCTATTATACTGACTTATTTTGCTCGACTTAATATGCATTAGAATCATGGAGATAATGAATACAGAAAACACCGGTGAGTTGCACACGTCTAGAAAGTACCATGACAGTCTTTTGTCAATCTCGTGCAACTGGCAGATCAGCAATAATAAGCAATTTGTTGATGCTGTTACCATTACAGCGATGCAATACTCATCTTCGAGGTGAGTGACTTAATTACAACAGTTTTGAAGTTAACAACGTTATATTAAAATAATATAAACGTTCGCAGAATAAACTGCGAAGACGTAGCTTCTGTGGATACTTGTATTGCTTTACAACCAATAGGTTCTAATACAGAACCATGTATGCTGAATATTAAAGTGTCAAACTATCAGAGGATAGCACGCGTCGCTATTATTTCTGAAGGTAATGTCCTAGAAATCTTCAAACAACTTGGAGAATATGAAACAACGATACATGCAGAGTTCATAGATGAGTATGAGGATAATATAGTTTTTCTTGGTGAAACTATGATACATCCTCCTACTACAGAAGTTAGTGTTAAGGTAAGCTGTCATTTATATGGATGCTTTGATGTCACATTCAGTATAATAAAGTTTAAATCAAGTACAAGTAAATGCTTATAAATTAATATTAAGTAAATGTGTATATATAATTTTTTATTAAATAAACATTGAAAAACAAAATGTTTTAATCCACATTCAATTATTTTCAGTAAGTATAAATGTCGTAATTAAATATTTAATAATGTTTACTTTTATTCTAGTTTATTAGAACAAAAAATAAAGGTCCTCTTATGTGGATTTATGGTATAAGACTGTTTTTGACAGACTCTACAAAAGAGGCAAAATCGAGTGCCTTTAATTATGATATCATCCAGACTTTTCTCAGTAATGCTAGCAATGGTAAAATGAGTCAAGAATCTGAGATGGCAAAGAGGATATTTGACGACAAACAAGAAAGTATGAGAAAATATAGAGAAAAACTTTTGGAAACATTTGCATCAGGCTCAAAATATGATGAGTATATAAATAAAATTGGAAGAAGCGATAATAAAAAAAGATTGTCAAATTGTGGAGATAATTATGAGCAATTAAATGCTACTGAATGTAAAAATATAATTGAAAGAAGAAATAGTAAAACAGAATATTCAAACTGTGAAGAGAATTATGAAAGATCGAATGCAGATGTCAATAACGATAATAAGACAGAATCTATAAAAGAGACAAAATCTGGTATCGTCAATGATAAAGATTTTATCCAGACATTTCTTAGTAATACATTTCTCGGTAAAATGAGTCAACCTGATTTGACAAGAATGTTTGAATTTTATGATAACCACGATAATAATGAAATTCTGAATAACGAGCAGTTTAATCAAAAAATGTTGGAAACTCTTCCTTCAGATTCGGAATATTTCGAATGGAAAAATAAAATTGCAAAAAAAGATACTGGCAAAGAACGTCGAAATTGCGAGGCCAATCATGAACAATTGGACTCCTTTAAATGTAAAAACAAAAATGTAAGAAGAAATAGCGACAAAGATTGTACAAGCCAAGAAGATAAGAAATCTGAAACAGACATTAGAATATATATCGATAATAAATTTCATGATATGGAAAAAAGATTGATGGAGAGAATAGACGAAATGGAAGCTAGTACCAATCGGAAACTGAATGCTATTTTGGAAAGACTTGAATCAAGGGTGAATGTACAGTAAATGTATATTTTAGTTATTAATTTTTTTAAGAGTAATATATTCTTTATTAGAGTATAGGAGTGTGGATCTGTATGATAGCATTCTATATAATTTATTTCTGAATATTTTGAGAATAAATATAATTTGAATTAAAACACGTTCAAAATCGATGATTTTTTTATATTTGATAAAAAAAAGTAAGTTATCAGATATGATTGTAAGTAGTGAATAATTTGTTGAATATATTTTTTTGTTTTTATATTAATCAAAAAATCTAACTCATTTTAACAAAATATTATATAAAGTGCCCTTTATTATTTTTATGTAATCTTAAAATAAATTTGTATTCATCTATTATGTGTGATAATATACTATTTTCAAATTTTGTATCAAAAACACATACAAAAAATTGCACATTTTCAAATTTATGGTATCTTTAATTTAAATACTTAAATTTAATGTATCTTAACTTATCTTCTAAATAATAGAAATTTGCAAACCTTGTCTCAAGAGAGATATTTAATGTATATATATTAATGTTATTTTATTTATACAAAATCATTTATGTAATTGAACTTTTTAAAAATATGTTATGAAATTACATAAATGAGATTGTAAGAGTTAGATAAATAAGAGAGATTTTCTAAACGACAAATTAAACCATATATTCTAAAATTTATCTATTATGACAGTA